ACTTCTTCATAAAAAGTAATTGAAAAAAATGTTTTTGGTCACTGGTAAAACAAAATACGTAAGTACTTAATTATAAAAAAAAAAGTGTGAAACGTTTAAAGTAATGTTGTAATAATACGAAAAAAAAAATTTGCACCGAGTGAGATTAGAACCCGGAGCCGCAAAATTAAAATCCACTCTCCTGCTCTAGCCATCTAAGCTAACAAAGTTCAGGTTATGGGATGACTAAAACTTGAATATTTTTATCGTAAAGTTTCGAAGCTTGAGATTTAATTTAAGCTTTATCGTATTATTGCCGTTAAGCTATGTATTAATGGCAAAAAAAAATAAATTAACAAATAAAGATATCAGCGCAATGGGGCTTTCGCGTAAAGGTGTTCAGTATATTAGTAAATAATATTACTTAGTACAAAAAATATTTGAGCGTACTGTGTCGTTGTGGTGAATGCCTTTATTTGTTATTCAATAATTTCACTTATCATAAAAGTGAAGAACAATTGAGCGCACTGGATTATTGGAATAAAGGCGCTCGTTTATTAATAAAGCAAAATAATATGTTAATTGCGTTGAGCTTGTTGTTTTTCAAAAAATGAAAAAAAATTGTTAATATCATGACAATTATGTTTTTGTTTTTATAGTTGAACGAATGATCAACTGCATTTTAAAAGCTTATCTTTCTTTCAGGGAGGAAGAGCGAGAAAATTAATACGCGCAGCTCTTTTCCGTATGAGCAGTGTACAAATATAGCTATAGATATATAGCCCGTTGTATGCATACACATATAGGTTTAGCTTATTTGGATTCTCATCTCTCCTTACCTCTCCTCGCGAGCCGAGCCCACAAGCCTCCAGCCAATAGAAAACGAGTGCATGGTTCCTCTGCTGGCCACGATGGATTGGCGCTCAAATAAGCGCTCAAATATCGGCACACTCTTTAACATAGGCACTGGCAATCTCCCTACTTATCTCTGGTTCAAGTTCCGAGCCTTTGTCGATAACAGTGCAACGTAGACGGCAGAGATGAGTAGAGAGATTGCTAACGCCAATGCTACGGCGTGAGACAACTTTTTTCCACTGATCGGGGCGACCCACCGCGGCCAGCCGTCGAACCAAGGTGCACATTTTTCGAGAGTGCGAGACTCGTATCGAAGAGCATGCACCTACAAGAAGAGAAGTTGATTCGCGTGGAAATGAGCACATAGGCGCACATTTTGGCGACACGTAGAAGGGGTGTACCGAATGTGTGCCTACGAGGAGAGAAGTGGAAACGTTCACTGTAGCTATATATCTGAGCGCACAGACAAAGCAAGCGACGACATGAGTTTTTCTCTTTTGACTGCAACTGAGTATATGCTATATATATTTAACTTACTCTTGCTCTCTCGCTTTTGCTTGGATGTTATCTATCAATCTTACATTCGATAAAATCGTGAAACTAAATGCTCACAACTATATGCACAGAATTTGTATCAAAACATTTTTTTTTTTCCGTACGTTAATACTTAATTTGAAATCTAGTATTACTTTGAAAAAATGTTTAGCTTATTTTTTTAATGATGGCAGTTCAGCTATAACCACTGGTTAATTATTTTTCCTCATCATAACTGTTATGAACTGTAGGACAAGCTCCGAAGATTATCGATAAACATATGTGACTTTTAGATCTCCTGCATTCGAAGTTTCGATAGCTAAGGTAGTAAGGGCTCATGCTACTAATATTCTTGTTTTGCTATCTGAGGATCGATTCCAACTGTCGGCAAATTTTTTTTTTTAACGTGATTCATCATTCTAGTTTATTTTCTTTCTATTTATGTTTTATTGAAATTTTTTACACTTATACATAATTTTCATTGATTTTTAGTTTTTTTTTTTTTAAGAAATGATTAAACTGTTCTGATAATTTTTTTAATCTATCTATACAATAATCATAATCTTCGAAGGCACAAAAAAACTTACATAAAACTCCCTTAACATTTATTTTCCGTCTTATGTTGTAAAAAAATTTTAGGTATAGCAGCTACATACTTATTGTGTTGATTAAATATGTAATTTTAATGTTAATTACATAATGTTGGTTCCAGACCAAACTTTTAATTAGCGTATGTAAATATCAAAACTTAATACCTTTGAAAATTATGCAACAAAAATCTGAACAGTAATGAAAAACAGATCNAATAGCGTTTAATCTCATCCCTTCTTTCGGAAATCAGGTGATTAATCAGGTGATTTCTTATGCCAAAATCGTATTTGTCCAGATTCTTAATTTTTCCTGTATTTTTAAGTACTTCTAACTGTTTTGTGCGTTTTTTAAAAAATTTGGACTTAAAAATGTTTTGGGAAAATGGTAAAAAAAAAGTCAATTATATTTGTTGTGTGATTGTTACTAAGTGGTTTTTGAAATTAAAATGTTACAAATAATTTAAAAAAGAAACTAAGGATTAATAGAATTCGTATGTTAAGTTAAGTTCCTTTCTCAAGTGAATTAAGTTGAACCTAGCAGCTATATTGCAGCAGCAATACTGTAAAATAACAAAGTCTACCTTGAGTACCCTTAAAAAAATAAGACGGATACTTTCATTTTACTAAATTAGAAAGGTGCCTGGTGTTTAGTCTTTACGAAACCCAAATTAGAAATTGTTGCTGAAAATCGCTGCTGCTATGGGGCTGCTAGTTTCAGCTTTATCTCAAACAACCAAAAATTTGTTCAGTAAAAGTTGAAGGGTTGACACACAAAACATACTAGAAATGGAGTTTTCTCGTCCCTTCGAATTAAACGTCAATGTGGAAACTGTATCATATACTTACTCCCCAACATTTTAGTTTTAAGAAAGTTAATTTCTGACTAATTAATGTTTTAATTCTTAAGCCTCTTTATGTTGTAAAATTTTTTTCACATATCTTGAATAAGAATTATTACTTTTGATTAATTATGTGAAAGTATTTATCATTATCACTGTGGATTTTGTCATCAGCAGGATTGTCTGTAACTGACTTCATGTATTTAAAAAAAATGGCAAAATAGATACAAAAAGAAGATTATACTCACTGTTTCAAATGTATCATCTAGAAGATTAAGTTTATCATTCCTTTTTATAATACTGCTACTCATAGAATATGCAGTAAAACATGATTGTGAATCTTCAGCATATTTAATATTCTTAAAAGCATTAAAATTATTTGTAGTATTGCTATGTAAGTATGATTCCTCATTAAACTCTGCAATACAATTAGTTCGATTAAAATTAAAAAAAAAAGTGATAATTACAATATTTCTTCTTAAAAAATAAACAGAAATACATATGTATGAGTGTACCTCTGTTACTTAATATAATATCTTGAAGTGATTTTTTTTCAGCTAATTCAACAAAGTTATCTTCTAGCTCATTATTAGGGTCATCAAAGGCAAAATCATCATCTAAGGCAGCAATGACATCTGGATCATAAGATTCCAGTTGAATGTTTAATTCTGGAGATACTTTATTAAAAAGACCTACTTTTTCTTCAATACCACTCTCAAAGGCTGAAGAAGGTAAGCTTATTTTATAATTATGTCCATCAATAGAACTTCTTTGTTTGGCGGTGCATTTTTCTTCAACCCATTCTGAATGCAACTTAGTTACATCTCTTAAATGTTGAAGATAATTATAATCGTCATCAAAAAAAACACCATATTTTTTTTGTTCTTCTTTTTGGTTTTTTAGATCACAATTGTCGTTTATTTGTTGTTTTGTGGACTTCTTGTCAGGCACAGGAACAAGCACTCTCTGTGGTGCTGTTTCATCAGCTGACAAAGGATCTTTTAAAGACCTATGGACAACTTGGAAAGTTACAGAATTTCTTTTGTCAATAAATTTTTTTTTCAGCTGAAAATTTTGAGGGATATTAATAAACGAGTTTTATCAACATTGAAATTACAATATTGTGGGACTAACATTGCTCATTTTGAATCGTTAATTAAGATAATTCTGCAGGCACTAAAAAATTACCAACACAACATTATCAACATTAAAACTTTTAATTAGCAACATTAAAACTTTCTAAGAGTTATAGAGTTGTGCAAATCTCTATTGATTCATATGCAAATAAAACAAAAGTGATGATCCGTTATAATGCGAAATAAATTAGTTTCGTTCAAGCAAAGAATATAAAAACACGTCGTACGAATATAGATATGTAAGGATCATTTTATCTTAAAAGATTTAGAAGACTTAATAAAAAATTTTATTTGAAAAGTGCACTCTAGCTTAAAAAGGGTGTCCTATACAACCTTAAGATCACTGCAGTCGATGATACAGACTCGGAAACAGGTAGATTGAAATAGCGTTTAATCTCATCCCTTCTTTCGGAAATCAGGTGATTAATCAGGTGATTTCTTATGCCAAAATCGTATTTGTCCAGATTCTTAATTTTTCCTGTATTTTTAAGTACTTCTAACTGTTTTGTGCGTTTTTTAAAAAATTTGGACTTAAAAATGTTTTGGGAAAATGGTAAAAAAAAAGTCAATTATATTTGTTGTGTGATTGTTACTAAGTGGTTTTTGAAATTAAAATGTTACAAATAATTTAAAAAAGAAACTAAGGATTAATAGAATTCGTATGTTAAGTTAAGTTCCTTTCTCAAGTGAATTAAGTTGAACCTAGCAGCTATATTGCAGCAGCAATACTGTAAAATAACAAAGTCTACCTTGAGTACCCTTAAAAAAATAAGACGGATACTTTCATTTTACTAAATTAGAAAGGTGCCTGGTGTTTAGTCTTTACGAAACCCAAATTAGAAATTGTTGCTGAAAATCGCTGCTGCTATGGGGCTGCTAGTTTCAGCTTTATCTCAAACAACCAAAAATTTGTTCAGTAAAAGTTGAAGGGTTGACACACAAAACATACTAGAAATGGAGTTTTCTCGTCCCTTCGAATTAAACGTCAATGTGGAAACTGTATCATATACTTACTCCCCAACATTTTAGTTTTAAGAAAGTTAATTTCTGACTAATTAATGTTTTAATTCTTAAGCCTCTTTATGTTGTAAAATTTTTTTCACATATCTTGAATAAGAATTATTACTTTTGATTAATTATGTGAAAGTATTTATCATTATCACTGTGGATTTTGTCATCAGCAGGATTGTCTGTAACTGACTTCATGTATTTAAAAAAAATGGCAAAATAGATACAAAAAGAAGATTATACTCACTGTTTCAAATGTATCATCTAGAAGATTAAGTTTATCATTCCTTTTTATAATACTGCTACTCATAGAATATGCAGTAAAACATGATTGTGAATCTTCAGCATATTTAATATTCTTAAAAGCATTAAAATTATTTGTAGTATTGCTATGTAAGTATGATTCCTCATTAAACTCTGCAATACAATTAGTTCGATTAAAATTAAAAAAAAAAGTGATAATTACAATATTTCTTCTTA